ATATATATATATATATATATATATATATATATCTATATATGCATGCGTCAGTTATTATAGACAATGAGAAGATATACGGATAAATAATCAGTTTTCTTAAAAGAATATTATAATAATATCATGATAACGATTGCCACACCTCCAAAGGTCGACTAAAACAAAACCGAACAACGGCATTTCAAAGATATTCTTCGGTTAGTGCACATATGTGAAGCACATCTTTATAAATTTTCAATAATGTCTGGTTATTGAAGATTAACATCTGAGTAGGGATTTATGAGAATTAACCCACAGTGTGTGATATTGTCGCACTCTTAACGATTCTTGTCTCAAGGTTTGATCGATATGTTGCCTATAGCCGTTGTATTAAAATAATAAAATGCATACATAGTAGTTAAGATCTGAGGGAACTCTGGCAAAGTGAAATGCTTATGTTTCGTCTCGGAAGACCGTTTCCCACGGGTTGTCATTCATCGTCCATTTAATAAAGTCAACCCACCCCACTCCAGACAGCTCGTCAGTCGGGGCATTAAGTGTCATCGTTTTGTGGCATTTTTAACTCCAAACGAAAATAACATCTAATCGGTGGCTAATTAAACTCTGCAAATAGTTGTTTTTTAAGTGTTATTTACTTCTCGAATCGCTTTTCAAATAAAAATCATCTTATACAAAATTCGATGGGTGGGGTGTGCGATAGACTTATCTCCACGTGGGGTACCCTGGGCAACGTATCTCATACGGCAAAAAGTCTATTAACCGACAGTTGACTTCTGACTTCAAACTACCATAACCCCACTGGATGCCATATTCTACCACTTCCACGGTAATCATCCTACATTTTCACTGCCTTTGTGTCAGTCTCTTTTACAACTGTAAACCACTCTTCTGTTCCCCATCCCTCGACTTTCTGTTACTTTGATGTTCCTTCCCCCTGTGTACCCCGAAGTCAGCTAAAGGGCTAATGATAACTATCAAAACGCCTGCCATTTGAAATAAACATAAAAAACTCGGTGGGTCAATAGGTTGTGATGAGTAAGTATCAGATTTTTCTGCAATAAACGTGGGCTTTTAAGGTTTCTAGCGATTTTTTTGGCACAATTAAAACTATCACTAATTTGAAAGATTCTATCTATTTTTTGCGCTAAAAGAATTTATGAAAATCTTATGGTTTTAAGAGCTAATTTATGATCCCTTGGTATATGATACATTTAACTTGAAAGGACCCTTCTCTATTTAGGGTTGTACATAAAATTTTAGTTTAAAGAGGTATAAAGGGATAATTTTATCCAGCTATTTTCTAAACTAGTGAATGCTTGATGAATGTCCCAGAGATTGCTATTCGCCTGTGTAAGTCTGCCAAAGGTCAAATACGACGTCCATATATTCAGATAATATTTCTATAGAAATGAAGTGTTGAACATTACTTCTTAGATTTATGTTCCAGGAATTAACGAACAGATCGGAATTTCCTTACCTAATTTATTGATTATAACAAGTATCATCATCTCGCAAGTGAATAAATAAAAAATCATAAAAAATCAGTTCAATTAAAAATAAATTTGAATCATTATTTATTCTCCTGGAATAGAGAGAATATCTAAACCTCATGACGAAGTGGAAGACAAAGTAGGTGTAACGGGATCAAGCGCAGTATGCCAAATGAGGCAGATGCCAACATCCTTAGCGGTTGACACCGGCCTACTAAGGGTTGTCAGAAGGAGGACTTTCAATTCAAAGATGACCCACTTAGCTAAACTGAGGAATTTTCGTAGCATCAATAGCGCTTTCTTCATTATCAGAACTTATTTCTCATCAAGATTAATTAGCATTAATCTAAAATTGGGAGCCAGAACGTTTAATTTCAAGTATAATGGCCGAGTTATGAACTCGGAATTATCTCAAAATTGCTTGAACATGCTTTAATGTTCAAAATAATAATGCCCTAATAGCAAGCGAAAATAAATATTCACAATGAATTGCCACTAAATAAATATTTTTTCTTCTTAAGTACGGAATCATCTTTTATAATATTACAAAACAACGTGTCTGTTAGCACCGAGCTAAAATTGCAATTGTCGACCGAGATTTGATTGGCTAACTTAGAATGCGCATACTTGACTTAAATGACTACTATCACCAATGGTACCGGAGCAACGCAACATATGGTATCTCGGATGGGCTGAATTGTAAGATTTAACTAGGTATGGTTAAAATGGTTTGTATATTAGCATTTTAAGCTTTTTTCCACTCTTTTATGGGTTATATTTTATAATAATTTGTATTAATCTTTACCAATACGATAAAGTGTACATATAATTGTGTGTTTACTTATTTTCACCAAAGTTTATTAATCTAAAATAGCTAAGATTTTACAGATTGTTGAAGAGAACTTAAAAATAGATCCTAGTTGTATTCGCATTGCCCTTCGTCGATTAGATAGGACGTAGAGCAACTGAAAATTTTTTAACTGAGACAGGTTTAAAATTGCCGTTTTGTAAGTATTCGATGGAGTAATATTAGTTCAATGGGCTAGCCTTAAAGGATTAAGGTGTTCCAGAAAACAGGAAAATTGTGTTCGGATTGATTTAGTTTAACATTATTTTGATTTTTTCTAGGTTTCTTAATTCACCTATACTGTTACGAAAATTTTAGTTTGGTTGTTAGAGTACCTTACTTTCAGGTACGTAATCTCTGTTTCTTTTATGCAAAGTGCTGTTGGTTAAATCCTGCTTTTTTATCATTTGCTTTCAATGTATTCGATGGGATATTCGGTAGCATAACCATATCAAATAACATCCGAGCTTTCTTTTAGTATTTACTTTTGTTATTTGCTGTCTTCTATCGAAATTTCACCACTGTAAACTTCATAGCGCTCTCTTGAGAAAGTGACTACAAAAGCCACTTGTTTCTCATCTCCAAATCTATTTTCCTCTATCTGGTCCATTTTTTCTTTATTTATAAGTTATTAGGTTCATATTATCTCTGCTTGACTAACTTTAATTCTGGATTTGATTGATTTATAATTGAATTTGGCACAGATAAAACATACTTTCACGAGTGCTAATTCACTTAATTTTTCTCTATTTAACACACGTTTTCACATGGTATATAGAAGATTAAATGCCTGCTTTAATACTAACCTGCTCGAATTGATTTTCAGTGACTTAACTGTACTGTAGCGTGTCTTTATTTCATTAATGTACTGGTCTAACTGTACTGAAGATTTGCTCTTAGAATAGGCAACTGGAGTTTATTTTATTTTATATCACTATTAATCTTGCGTAAATTTATGTAGAGTTCAGTAACTACAACCTGGTCACGAAATAGATAAAAGTGATCTAACTGCGTCCTGAATTTCTATCTATACTCGGGCCCCCACCCAACAGCTGCCTGTTAATTAGAGGACCTAGGATATTTTCTTCCAATATTGGCTTGGAAATCATTGATGTCAGAGGTCGCATTCGATGTATCGGAACATATAACTGAGTTGGTTAAAGCTGGTAAAATCGAGTCCGAATGGAACTTTCACAATGGGGACAAATCTTGAATGCTAAACCATCCTATGATAAATGTTGAGCACCACTTATGATAATAGCTTAATAGTCATTTGTAAATCAGTCGTTTAATTGGTTTTTTTGGAACAGTTTAGAGAGTAGTCATGCTAATCATAGGATAATTGTTATGTTGCAGTTTCCCGACTTATAACGGGGTTTCCCTGTGTGGCCCTAAGCCGTTAGGTGACTATAGGGTGGATGAACCACCTGAGGTGTCCTTAAAGCGTGAGAGTTGATTTCATTGCCGCGATCACATGCTACCCCCTTCCCGTTTCTCTCTCAAGTATACCATGTGCTTGTGCGCAATTCGCGTGCTACTTGTACTTTTAAGGTATTCTGCGTACACATCGCTCGCCATTCTACCTGCCCCTCTCACTTGAACGCATGCTCTCTCGCGGATACAACACGCGGCTATGTTCGAGTCGAAGCCTACCTAATTCGATGTTTGTTGCAGCAGCATATCAACTCGGTTAATTAGGCACCCAATTATATTCTACTCTTTTAATCTTACCTCTGTCTGAAATTAATACAGGTGATTTCCAAAGTTTTTCAGTTCTAACTGATTTTCCGTTTTCCACATCCTTCAGATTTGAATCTTATCTGAGAAGCAACAGACTTGGAAACTCATTTTTGTGGAAGAACCACCAATTTTGGAACAGTATACTACGAATCGGCAGGCTGGTCAAGTGTTTTAACGCAGGAAATATACCTTGGACTCGCCCCTACTCATAGCAAGTGCCAGTTCTCCCCTTGCCCCCAGATTACAATGCTGAAACACCTCAAGCGTCAAAATATGGATGCACTCTACTTCAGATGGCTGGGCTCAGAGGTAAGTTAATACATTACCACTAGTCCCTTACAAAAAATCAAGCAAGAAACAGATTATTCCATCAGGTAGTAGTTGCTTTATCTCTATACAGTTATGATACAATGGATTTTTGATTTTTGTACAAAGCGTCAGATATAGGACGACAGAAATAGGTAAGAGTGGACAGGGAACAACAATTGGATTGAGAAGAGGTAAAACGGAATTAGGCCGTAAAGGGTTTATGGCTAGTTTTCAGCGATTCTTGGACAACGTTATGGAGGAACGTAGAAAAAGGAGTATTAGGGAATAACTGAGTGCACACTTAGACATTGTACACAACGGGGTGAATTATGCTTTTTCCGTCTGTTGATGCGGCGGTGGTACCATCTTCATGATGAGAGTTTGAGTTCTTGACCATCGTTGCTAGGGCGCTACTCTTTCGAACAGGAGTAGTGGTGGCAGGTAGCCGGGTAAGGTTACCGTCAATGTAGGGTGATGTCCCGCCACCGTTTACCAATGCCTTTTTTGGAGAGGAATTTGCTGATCCTCTCCCATTCTTAAGGAAATACAAATTAAAGGAGGTTAAAACAAGCGCTTGGCATCATGGCTGTCAAATTATGCCCTTTTCCCAAAAATTTCCCAAAACCACTTGTACTTTTGCGATGACCCTAAAAAGTTCAAACCCCACAAGTATATTAGAATCACGTAAATACAGTTTTGGATTACATAAACACTTTATTACCTCCCCAAAAAACAAGCACGAATCTCATCCCTATTAACTCAAATGTATAGTGCTTTACTCTTCGCCTCCCCCTCATGCACTTAGTGATACATGCGGATTAGTGAGAGAAACTTCCATCAGCACATTCAGATTTAGACTGGACGAAGACGTACACAATTAAAATTATTGATTTGGCTTGAAGCCAACTCGTTGCTTAACATAGAGCAATCTAGTACTGTAGGGGTTGTATAAATATGCAGGCTTATGTCAAATGAACACAGGGACAGTAAATATGGACATTTACTGAAAAGTGCTCACCGTGAGAGGCATTGGAACTATGCGACCTTTGGCAGAAGCGACAGCGGGTTGGAGGGGGGCACCAACATTGTTATCACTGTTGCTATTCACCGAGAGTCTGTGGTTGCTGCCACCAGTGGTGCTTCTGTAATTTGGTTTTGACACGACAGTCAGCTGCTTCCCCTCTAGTTTTTGATAAGAAGGGCTCGGCGATGCATCAACACTATCTGAGATCTTTTGTACAGGGGAGGAATAAATGCTATTTCTATGAGCTGGTCGGCTATCAGCTGCCGATACAAGACAGTTACCGTTCATTAAACATTTGAGGTAATGGGCTAACTGGTCTTTTGAAAGACCACGGAGGAACGAATCAAAACTTGTAAAGGAGGGAGTGGAAAGACTTGGGTGAATTCTACTTAGAGGCGTTGCATTTAGGGTAGAATCATTACAACGATGCGGAAGCGAAATGCCAGAACTAGGGAAGTGCTGAAGTTCAACAACTTGAATTTCAGGTTGGGATTGAGAGGAGGAGTTAGGGAGGTATCTATTGGTATCTACAGTAGCAGGCGATAGTTGCATGCGGTCGATACGCCGCCGACCACCTCTACCAAATCGTTGACGCATGTAGCCAGTGTGTCTATACCGAACACTTCGATGAACACGTTCTACTTGGGATAAACTATACCCTCCTCCGGCACCTTCATCGGCTTCATAATTCCTGCACCATTGAAAAGAGAAAAACGAAAGAGTTTAGGAAATAGGACAACACAAGGCATTGCTTAACTCATAACAATAAACTTACATAGGTTTTTGATATTTACAGCCGGGCAATCGAATGAACGGGAATAGTTCAACCTCTTTATCCTTTGGTTCAGCAACTTCAACATTGTCAAATGGCGTTCTCAAATAAGACCTTGGAGAGGATTTCCGTTTCCTTGACATTAAATGCTAAAGGAAACAGGGTTAGAGACGAAAAGACGCCTTGCCTCATTAACCTTGTCTGCATACTCCACAGTAAAGGATCTGGGACTTCGAGAGGCAATAGCATTCGATTCCTCCAGCAATGAGCCATCCCAATCTTCAGATTGATAGCGCAATTTGAACATCTGGCGGTCAATATCAATCAAATCAGCTTTGCACATTTCACGCTCGACTATGCGTTTTGGAATTTTTCTACACAAATAGAGATGGTGTAAAAGTTTAAAAAATTTGCTCTTACTTTCCCTTATGATTAATTAATTGGAAGATGAGCATTCTTTCATAGGAATATTCCTCATTCTTTCTATTCTTCCTCGTCTGCATGCGCTCAGTTCGTCGACGAAAAGCAACGTAGGCATCATTAGTACTCCCATCCTTCTTTTCTTGTAATATCATTGGAATGAGAGGTTTGGGATGACGTAAACGCTTCTCAAGCCAATAATCATAAACAGCGATAATATCACGCATAGAAAAATCCTGAAGAATGTGCTTGACATCATCTAGCGTTAGCCACTTCTTTTGACTGCAATTTCGCTCCATTCTCTCAATCATGTACTCAAAACCGCTAGGAGTGAGATCAAGACCACTTCGAGAGAGCCATCGTTCGTCTTCGGCGTCCATATCATACTCAATTTGTTCGTCGTCGTTCAAAAATGCCGCTAAAAACGGATTAAACGACGCACCGGACCACTTACTACATACGTGAATAAGATTATCGGGGATAGCGAAATCCGCTGTATATGTGCTCTCGTACTCCTCGTTCATTTCAATTATCTCAGGCACCGGAATAGATACCTCCGACGTCTTTTGTCTTTGCATCGCCTGAAGCACCTCGATGAAGTGATGCTCCTATAATCATTTCAGTTATGAATGAAAGGCCGAAAGTTTTTGGCAAGAAACTAGAACACCCGGAAAATGTAACCCCTAAACTAGCTTGTGGTATGGGTTTATAAGCCTGAGTTTGCAATAAACTAGACTATAAATGTCAACTTAAGGGTATTAACTGCGAAGTTAGAAAACATTTATGCTCTCGTACATTTTCTTCTTCGCGTTCCATCCCACTAGGAACGGTAGGGACTCCGCGACTGACGAAGGCCCCCTCACCAAGCTCCTGATACTGCTGAGAATCATATCTGATAATTGAAAGTGTTCGGTTATAGTCAATTTGACGAGTTCGAAAAGAAACTTTGCTCATTCTGAAAATGAGAGGAAACGGGGTAATAGAGCAAAAAAGTTAACAAATTGGTATCAACATGCCAATTTCTGCACGAACAGGGTTAAGATTAGTAAAACGCACAAATTTAAATAATAAATAGTTGACACAAGAGCCAATTACACAATTTAATTGGAGATTTTCATGAGAATCTTGCCGCATTCAATATGGCGACAAGAAAAAATTCTTGCTTAGGTAATGGCGGATTTTACAGCGTTTAAAACAAAGCATTTTCGGTTATATTTTATAATACGAACATATAGCATAATTTTAGGCCGTCGGAAAAATATTTCATTAACTTATTTATTTATATTTGCTTTTAGCTTGATAATAATATTTAAGTATAAAAGTTAAGAAACTTTATGTTTAATACATTACCTAGTCAAAATTCTCGCTTGAAATACGTAACGTATTTGGTACATTCGTTTAATTTTTATAATATTCATACTATCCAGATTACGAAACTGGTACTTTCCTTAAAAATGGTCAATATCTTTTCATGTCCAAAGGTACTACAATTATCGCAGATTTTACAAAGTAATATTTCAGTAGCCTAGCGGTTGACATTGGTTTGCAAATTTCTTTTCTTCCACTTGACCATAAACAGAGTTAGTTTTGATATTTGTCGCTTAATAGGGCGCTTACTAGTTTCTAAATAAATGGAAATTTTACAATAAATAATCTTCAATTGGTACATTCTAAAATAATTAATAATTTGATCAAATTTAACAAGTCATAATAGCTCACATTGTGCTTTAAACTTAACGTTTTATTAAAATTCGCCAGTTGCACTTATTTGCGACTTCTCATTTTAAGATATTTTTTTTGATATTTACTAACCATTAAAATTGTTGCTCTTTTATTTTATTTTTAATTATCTGTGGACATTTATTTATAAATACATTAAAGTTGAATCATAGTTTAGTAAGTTTCGAGTTGCGTATAGTGTTATATTGCTAAATATGTGTGTCATTGAAATATTTTTGTCGCTTAATTAATACTTAAATTTGTTAAATGGGATTTACTAATTGCTTCCTAGTGTCAATATTTGAACTTATTTGGGTTTGGACTTGGAAAATCAAATTTTGATGTGTTTTAATTTTCTATATATCCTCAATAGCCGCTATGACCTCAAAGCTTCGTCATTTATAAACACGAGGTCTATAAGTTATTCTGAGCTTTTTACGTATATTCCTAAAGGTTTCCTACTCAAAACACTTTGTTTACATCTACTTATGTTTTGACTTCTGACGATCTTCATTCAGTGCTGTTTCAAAGATATTTCATGTTTCGAAATGGTGCTCTTTCCAATATTTGGGTACAATCTAACAGCCCTCCCCCTTAACCTCTCTGAAGTAGAAAAGCGTCTTGGCGAACCGCTTACTGAGTGCTTTGAAAACGTGTACAATATTGGTCTTATTTCACACTATTTTACGGGCATAATTGCTCTAGTTATTTCCAGTGTCGGATTGATTGGCAATATTCTATCTATTGGAGTTTTAACATCCAAATACATGAAAGGAACAACTACTAATCTCTATTTAATTGGACTTGCCTTTTCAGACTCACTAATGTTGCTTTCTGTACTGCTGGTGGCTTTGCGTGATACCAGAAAGCCTGTGTGTGGAAAGTCAGTTTGGCAGCTTTGGAATGATGCTCCCTTTGTTCCCAAACTCTACCCTATTTGTCACTCATTGGCGCTACTATTTCAGGTGAGATTTCTTCCTTTTTTGATTATGGCAATCTGAGCTAAAGACTTTAAATATGATCTTGCTGGCTTTTGTTTTTTAAAGTTATTTCTTTAAGATAGTTTGACTATAATTCTATATGACGTAAAAATGTTGATCCTATTTTTCATTTATTTTTAATATATATTTTCTAGTTTATTTGATTTACATTTTAATGGAACCAACTAATTGTCCAATGTGAAGTAGGAACGGGCTTATGTCGTATTGCACTCTAAATATAAATGAATCAGCAAGCAAATTTTTAAGCTTTTTAGATCTATTGACAAAGCATCAATTTATAGTGTTTTATAGCACTGCTATTTGACTATTTTCTTCAGAGAAATAAATGACTTTAATCATGAAAGTTGTTGTGTTTCAATCGCTCCTAGTGATGAATGGATTTGCGATTTCCTATTTCCAAGATATGAGCGTGGGTGCCCAATGAACAGCTGTAAAGGGTAATATTAAGCTAACCGCAATTTTAGTCAACTGTCTTTTAGGTAAAATATTAATCGATTTTCATGCCATTTGGGTACTTAGAAAAACTTCAAAAGTACTTTGTATAAATGTGATTTAAAGTAAACAAAAAATTCAAGTAAATTGATTTAATGATGCTTTATGGTTTTTACAACAATGACATTAAAGGAATTGGAGTTAAATGGTCTTCTATTCAAAACATAAGTGTTTCATTCATGCTTAACAGTCTTATTCCTTATTGGTTTATTTGATATTATATCCAACAAATGATCAACTCTATTTCACCCCGGAAAGCATCTGAAAATAGGAAACAATAAACTTATCAAAATGTGCCTTTTAAAGGATAAGCAAATCAAGGTCTATAAATTTTTAATTATTGTTATGGAATTTTGTTTTTAGTTACGTTATCAATATCTACAAAAAAATATAGTCGCATGGGGAAAGGCTATGTCGACCGCAGAAGAAAATAATTGCTTTTGATTCAAATTGTTTATCCTGAATATTGGGAAGTTTTATTCAATATACGCATGTATATAAATGCATATTTTTTCTGAAATATATTGAGCAAGTGCAAATCAAGCCATTTCAAACTGCTTCCTTTACGAGTTTCAGGTTATTAGAGGTTACTGTGATAAAGGTAGCTACCAAGACTATTTTGTTCACCAAAGGGATGGTTAAAACCTATTCGAAAAATATAATACGTTCATAGAAATACGCACTTATTTTAGATTACATTTATTAAAAAAGAGGAAGAATGAGATTGGAAATTTTATTTAGGACATTAAATAATTCTCCACTGGTTCAAGTGGCGTTTGGCCACTTTGTATCTCGAAGATCTTTTCCTAATATTTTGTTTTTTTTCAATTTAAAACAGGTTTATCAAATTGGTGGCAACTGTCCTTGAACTTAGGTTAACATCTTTGTATATTTTGCTATTGGCTTACGTTTGCATGATATCAGTTAGGGTGATAACGATCTTCGTAAATTCCTAACTATAAAGCGGCTAGTTGGCGAAAGTGAGAATTTTTCGTTATTCCCCTAGTACGTAAAAAAAGCAAAAATTAGAGCGTCTGAAGCAATTTTGTGTTTTTACTTTAGTAAAAAATCATATTTTCGTGCTTTATTTTAGTATTTTCATTATAATTAATTTTAGATTAATGAAAAATTTAATTACATTTGACAAATGTATGGCTTTGACATTGCTTAACGATGGTAAAATGATGAAACTAGGAAAGACTAATATTGCCCAATTGGAGATTTGACAGAGTCACGTTTATACAACTGATAGTCTGGAATTATCAAGATGCTAATTTTTTACAAATATTTCTTTTGATGTACAGGTCGATATCTTAACTTCTGAAAGTGTGTTCGTGTTTTTCAAAACTTCTTGACCAATTGAGTCAGCTGAGTAGTTGCTCACATTGTTTCCATGCACTCATTTCTTCTAAACGCCAATTTCACTTAATATAAGGCGAACTTTAGTAGCCAATAGGCATGGTTTTACAATGTTAAATAAAGCTATTCTTAATAGAATATTTTTTAATAAAGGGTACATTTTTTAGCCTTACGGACCATTTAAGTTGAAATAGTACTGGCTAGGGGAGAGTGAAAGAAATGCAAATCACTCCTAATTAAATCTCAACTTCAAGATTAGATCTCCATTCGGTAAATCGAAACATCGCTTTTGCCAAGTAATTGAAATTAAAATTAATCTTAACTACCAGTGCCTACGAGGGAATTGTAATCAAACTATGAACACATACAAATACTTGGCTTGTATGAATGAGCGTGCCTAGTTTAGTGATAAATTCATGTACCTTGACAGATAAAAGTACCCATATATACGGTTGTAGTCCAGGAGTAACAGGACGTAAACAATATGCTATGATGAGACATGCACTAGGGCCATGGAATCAGTAATTAGGACAGTAGAAGAGGTATCATTACCTTGCAAAATGCCCAGAATATCCTAATCCCCCCTCACTAGCGATTATTCCACTTTTTTGAGGTATTTATAATTAATGATTTCGTGTAGAAAAGCTTTTCCGGACACTCATCTTGGGTGGTAAGTTAGCATTGCGTAGTCCTCTCTAATATTGCTGACTTCTTAATTTTGCAAGTGAACCAATGGGGAATTACATCTATAGGATTTGATTCCGCGTCCACTGACCACGGTACATAGACGAAGAAAAGAAATGATTAGTTAAATGAATAGCAGAGTACAGGCACAAAGGTGTATAAAATTCATAGATTAACCCAGATTTTGGTCAAGCTGAAAGTTTTATTTTCAAGTTCGAGATTCACATTCTGGGATATAATCAAACAGTCCCATTAGTTAACTGTGGTCAATCAGATATTTTTTTAAGAGCGACACCGGAACATCTTCATTCTGTCCACAACAAATCTCACTTCCCCTTTCTGGTTATGAAATATTTTTAGACTACTTAATTCGGTTTAAGTAATTTAAATCAGTAGAAATTTTGTTCAAATAAATATCCTTATAGGATTGACTGATTGACATAACTTATTAATTTTTGCAAAAATTGCTTTGAAATCGCGAATGTAATTGTATCTATTCTGAAGGTATTGTTTAATTACATGGATCAAGTTCACAGGAAGTCCAAATTTTATTTTTTTTACTTTCTAAATATTTTAAATTCAAAATCAAATTTAAATAATCAATGATGAAGAAAGAGAATGAAATACGAGAAGAGACCACTTGTGTCTTAAAAGGTTTATGTGAATATCATGAACAATTTTTAAGAGAAAATTCCATTA